ATTATTATCTTTGTTTACATGTTTGTTTTTGAAAGTTGGGATTTGTTTTTGCAGGGATTCTGCTTGCCTTATCAGACTGGGATCAAAGGTGAACCGGGGCCACCAGGACCACGAGTACGTAGCAATGTTGAAATTAAATATATTGAATAAATTTGTAAGACTTTGTAAGTCTGGTTAATGTAATAAAAATATAAAAGTTCATGTTTTTTTAAAAGACAAGCCATTACTTATTGTTTTATGTGTTAATTGTAATGCTAGGGTAAACCTGGAAAAGATGGGGAGAATGGATTCAAGGTAACAATAAATATTTATTTTACGTCCCTTTCATTGGCTCATTTCTGTCACTGATGTTTAATGTTTTATCATACAGGGAGAAAAAGGCTTTGCTGGAGCTCCTGGATACCCCGGTTTATTGGTAACTTATGCACAATAAATGCAGATCAGAATTATAAAAATGAATGTGAAGATTCAGTTTTGTTAAACAGACTGGGTCAGTTCATTTTGTTGTTGTTGCAGGGAGAAAAAGGAGAACCTGGACCGCCTGGTTATGTAAGTAGTCTTGTTTCTTTGTGTTTTTCTAGGAAACTTTGTTTTATTCATTTATTCCCTTTTTTAAATCACCAACAAACTGTGGTTTTAGTTCTTAAAASCAGACACACACAAATATAACAATTCAGAGTTGAGTCAGGAGTCATGGCCTGTGTGTTGTAAGATAAGGGATATTTTTGGCCTTTAAATTTAGGAGCTAAACGTTGGGTAAAAGAACTGAGTTATCTTTAAGGATGCTTTAAATCAAAGAGTTTCACATCACACTCATTACCCTCTAGGAAAATTTTTATGTTTACAAATCATGTGAGGATCCCATTCAGATTGAGGCAGTCTCTTTTTTTATAGAGACCCTGTATAGGTTTTAAGATAATTCTGAGATGTGAGTGAAGATTATGAACATCTTTTATCTTACTTGATGTAAAATTATCATAAAAAGTAAGGAAATTTGTGTATCAATGGGCCTCATGCAAGAACCGTTCGTACGCACAGATTTGTTCTTAAGTTGTGCGTACGAGTGATTTAGGAG